ACCCACCGCAGGAATTTACACTGCTCTCCGGTTATTCGGCTAAACTTCTTTCCCGTAATTATGATGAGAGACATAACTTCTATAAAGCCGACTTTGAAAAAATATCTAATTATTTAAGCTCGATACCATGGGAGAGTGACCTGGCTTCGTGCTCCTCGGTGGATGGAATGACTAACAAATTTTACTCAATACTAAAAAGTTCTACCTTAAAATATGTTCCTCAAAGCAAACCAGCATCAAAAAAGTTTCCCCCATGGTATACCAGAGATCTTATTCGTCTTTCACGTGCGAAGTATAAGCTCAGGATAAGATACAAAAAGTACAAAAACCCACTCGACGAACTGGTCTTCCAAACAATTAAAAAACGGTGTACTGATTTAACAGAATCTTGTTATCTTAAATATATAACTGATCTCGAGAAGTCTCTATCAGTAAATCCAAAAGAGTTTTGGACTTTTCTTAAGAATTAAAAAAGTCAATAGCAACGCGTATCCTTCTGCAATGAAATTCGATGATAGGGAAGAAACTTGTGGTACTGGTATTTTTAATCTTTTTGCTTCCTTTTTTGCTTCGGTTTATCGGCCAAGCTTACCTCTCTACAACGTACCTGATCCGAAATGCTCAGTCACTCGTTTCATTGAAAGTCTGACCCTCAGGCGAGAGGATGTTCTGAAAACTCTGAAAGGACTAGATAGTTCCAGTTTTTAAGTCGAGTGATTCGGCATCTGTGAAGAACTATAGGCTCATTTCGATACTCTCAGTCTTTGGAAAAGCATTTGAATTCTTAGTTTGCCCGGTCTTGTCCTATCACATAAAGCATTTAACTTCACCTCACCTATATGGGCTTTTGGCATCTCGCGCAACGGTAAGTAATTTGATCCTATTTGTGGAGTTCGTTTCTAATTCCTTTGATTCTTGCGTTCCGGTGGACACAATATATACCAAATTTAGTAAGGCTTTCGATTCGGTAATCACAAAATTTTACTAGGTAAACTTCCACGTTTGGGTGTATATGGTAGCCTTCTATCCGAGATCGCCGCACCACGAATCATTTAAGTATTAGTTCTTGTATTATTATTTATTCTATGGTATTAGTTTCAGAATCGCGCCAGGGCTCTTGCTTTGTTCGTGTTTATTCACGTACAGTCGTTTTTTTCTTTTTTATTTATGAGTGTAGTTTTTATTTCACTTCTTCCAAGAAGGCATATTGTTATATACACAGTGATGGACTTTTTTTCTTTAAAACCGTCTTATGTTAGTGCTGAAATAAAAGAAGTTAAACTTTTTAAGTACCTATATACTTTTAAGTTTATTTCATTAGATGGTAAATGCTCCCGAGCCCACGAAAGCCGCCGACCGCCAACTATGATTTCTTTATTTCATATGCTCCTTATTCTTTTTGAGGTTTCACCGCCTTTTGACAGTCAAATTTATAATAATAATAATAATTTATTTCAGACCCACATATATTCCATATTTATTTTAGTAATTAGCTTAACCTATGTTAGTCTTAAATTATTACACACATTTTTAATTTCAATTATTTTTATTTTCGACACCCCATGACACCAGGCACATGCAAGTGCATACGCATACAGTGCCCTAGGATGGGACAATCAAATTTATCAGATATTGCCTTCAAAATGCTATTGGAGCTCCCACGAACCTGCGCATGAGGGATGCGATTCTCTTTCGAATAATAGCATGAAAGTCATCCGTACCGTACACTGTAAACATCTCTGAAGCGCTACAATACCGCGGAAGTCCCATCAGCGCCCTGAATGCATTATTATATTGTACCCGAAGGGCATTGTAGGCTCTCTGCGTATACTTAACCCATAGACTGCACGTGTAAAATGACTGACAAAAGGCTTTGAAAAGTGTTATTTTAACTTCTTCTGTACAGCGTTCAAAGCTACGGGACAGCAAACAATGCCCTTCTTTCTCTTTCTATGTCCGCATCATCAGTGAGATCCTCAGTTAATACGTGACCAAGATACCTAAACTGGAACACCCTATTTAACAGTACGTTCCTCAACTTAACAGGAGGAATCGTTTCAATTTTTTATCCAGCGCGAAACACCAATTGTACACTTTTTTTTAATATTATAAATGAGACCGTGAGTCTCAGCATAGGTCTCACAAACATTCAATAATATCCTCAGTGCGTTAATCGATGCACTCAGCAACACCATGTCGTCTGCATAGCTTATAATATTAACGAAATGCCCATCAATTGAGCAGCCCACACCAGTGTTGCTGAGCTCAGCGATCAACTGGTTAATATACAGGTTGAAGAGTGCTGGTGAAGTCAGGCCACCCTGTCCCACCCCGCACTCCAACCTGTACTCGTCGGAGAGTGCCTCTGTCCATCTGACCTGATTTAATTGGTGACCATACCAGTATTTAAAAATTTCAATCAACTCGCTTGGTAAGGCCACGTCACGCAACTTCTTCCACAAAATATCATAATTAACTAGGTCAAATGCTTTATGAGGACATATGTTGGCTTTCAACTTTAATGTTCCCCCAACTAGTTCATGTTTAACTAAATTTTCTGTGTCTTTTTCAACCTGTATACAAAGTAATATAAAAAAAAACATATAAAGTAAATAACAAATACATTTACATAAAAATATAGTTATTTTTACTCAATGAGGGCTAATAATTTTCTGCTCACCAGATATCGCTAGTTGACAATGATTTAAAGTTTTTTGTTACACAATGTAATTTAACGAAGAAGTTGGTTTTTAATAAAAGTTTACCAGTTCAAGAGCAAACCACTGACGCATTGCTTTCAGTACGTCAGTGGTTTGCTCTTTAATTTTTTGTACATTTTTAACTTTTTTTTAATTTTTCTACTTTTATGAATATCTGTGGTTTACTTTATTTATTTCTAATCGTATTAAAAAAAATATAGCTAATAGTATGTACACAAAGAAACAGTAACCTTTACATTTTTCGAACAAATTAACTTCCCCACTATGAAATCTGTCAAATATTATACCTTACTTTTAAGTGGCGCCGCCCTAGTGGCAGAAAAAGTCGTGTATTCCCCTCATTAAATTAAATTAAATTATTTGACTCAATAGGTATATGAATCAGGAATAGACAGCTATTATTAATAGTTACTTACATCAAAATGAATTTCACACAAATATTTAGTGCTTGTAAGTCCAATTAAATATCGGTTTGTTTGCACCACTTTTTCCCGGTTTTTATATTACTTGGTACACGAAAAAAAATTATTGAGATTTTTAACTGTTGTGCTTTGACACATAGGAACAGTACAATATTTGTAGGCATTTTTTTTAACTTTTGCCATCGGGTACTGAACAAAATAAGAATCGAACTGCGCAAGGGACTACACAACAATAAATTTGTATGTACTCGGTGATACGTGCTGCATCGTCTAGGTCAAACGACATCACACGATGGAGCGCCGCGTGTAACAAAATTAATCTTGCAAGCGCAAATTAAATTCCCATAACTTTTTCATTTCTAGAGATATTTTATTGATTCTTTGTTTTGTTACTTCGTTTGTTTTATTTTACTCAAATTTTTATAATTTATCCATAAAAAAATGGAAACTTCTTCATTTCTCGAGTCAATGGTGTCTGTTTCATTCAAGTATCTATACCTATTGTTTGAATTTTTAAACATTAAAATATAAGGAATAAAATGTTTAAGTTTTTATTTGCTTAGTATTAACTATAACCTATTTAAATTTTATTTGCATAGTCCACATTTGCATGCCGTGGCAGCTTATAATTAAAATGACACTTAGCTTTAGTTTGATACTCAAGTTACTTTAAATTCCATTTATTAGTGTTCGTCTTGTTGATTGTCCTTTTAAATAAATAAAAATAAACACTATTTATCAACCAAAAAATGTCACACTAGTGCAATATTAATAACATCATGCTATTTTCTCCAAGGGGTTGCGCGGAGCTTCGGATTATATTCAAATGTCACAATGATAAAAATTTTAGCGTAGTTAGATATAATATATTTAGTAATGCTCTTGAAGCGCCACTAGACGCCAGCGCATGAGACGCGCGGTGGCAAGATAGTATAAATTCGATAGTGTTTGATACTCACAAAGCTCGACGCCTGATACATGCTTGATGGCCGACGACATTGTGTCGAGGGTTTAAATAGCGTGAATTATCTCCTAATGCGTTAGCCGTAGAGAAGAGGAAATCGTGGTTAAGTAATAGCTGCGCAGATCAATAGATTTGCAAGATTAAGTTGCACTTGCCACGGTCAGTCCATGAATGAGTGACCATTTTCTTAACATAGAGAATAGATAGTGCATCTGTATCCTTAAGCTCTTGGTGCACTTTACTCTGTTAAAATCATTACGTTTTTAAAATAATTGCAGTTAAAGTGATAATAAGTTTACTATTATCTTATACTTTTAAGGGACAGATGAAAGAATATAAACAAGATGCTTACCGCTTCCTTAACAATCATTTTTCGATAGTCCTTGTAAGTGAAATGTCTATCACTAGCTAATGCACACAATGACAAATCAAACTTAGAACTTGACCGGCGGCAGATTCCTGCTCCTGTATTATTGTTTAAATAATGGTTAGATGTAGATTTTGATATGTAAAAGTGGTGCGATTTTGTCTATTAAGTATCTCCGCATGTGAACTATTAGTGAAAACGGTGAAACAAGAGCTCTGATAATGATGTGATTCTCAAGATAAGGTGTCTGTCTGCTTGGGCGCCTTGAGATATAATTGCCAACTGTCTGCTATCTGCTGGCTCAAGTTGCCGTGAAAATCTCCCAAGGACTGCCCAATATGACGCATCAACATAATGTGAAGCAGTCTACTATGAACGATAATTATACATTGTAACTTCAGGTTTAGAAGGGCTAGGATTTAGAACAATAAGTCAGTTATAAAAAAAATATTGACTTGACAGTGACAGTTTGTCGCTGCGGCTGACAGGTATTTGACAGGCGTAGTAGGAGAGATTCAGTGCCGAAAATGTACAAATTTACGACTCATTTAACAAATCCAAATTTGGTTCTGGTATGTATTTCTTTAAAATAATGGTTACATTAATTTCGCTAAAAGATACACCAAAATACATTTAATACAATTGCTAATTTCCGTAGGAAAGTTTCTCTGCATAGGTTTTGATCGATTTTTGTTTTATATATTAATGAATTTTTATATTTTGTTGGTGTTTTACTGGGAAACATATTGAAAATTTATAATACGTGTTCATAAATAATACAAACATATCCTTTGTTATTGTTGTCCCTTACATAACATTAGCGTAACGTCATTTTCGTGATAAGTAACCTAGAAATGTATATAAGGTTGATGTCAGCTATTTGAATAATTTAGAGCCGGCAAAATTTAGAAGATGACTTCTGTAACTATTGCGTCGATTGGGTCAAGTGGAATAATTTAGTTATAACTGGCATAACCAATGTGGCAAAAATAAATATAATGAGTCCAAAGCGGGACTATCCATGTATGATCTAATTATTACATTCGTATTTTTGACAAATTTAACAGACTAACAATGCATGATAATAACTGCTAAACTGTTCAACTAAATGCTCATATATATTTTTCAAACGCAACTTAATGTTTGTTATCTTGTGAGTATAAGCAGTGAATGAGAAAGAAAAAATGGCAGGTGGCATTGTAAATGGCAAATGCATTCCCTCTCACTATTTTGTTAATGTATTTGACTAAACGCATAATTTTTAAAATATTAATACTAAAACTTGGCTTGTTTAATTTGTTAAACAAATCATTTTGTATTTTGACATTTGAAATAACATTCAATGTTACCGTTTTATTACAATTTGGTGAATTTTCAAAAATTGATATCTCAAAAGCTATGGATATTAGCACTTTGATATATGAATACATCCTTACTTTACTAACCCCTTCTACCATAAAAATATGAACCCAATTTTCAGGGTTGCTGTTTCTTAAGCTGAGCCTATAAACTATTTTTATTACATTAGAAATATATATTTTGTGGGAAATAATGGAAGTTGTTAATGCAGTCCATAGGCACTTGAACAGGCAATGAATGACTCAATTGTACAAAAGCTATAATTGACTTTATGGTTCAGACTTATGATGGACAGGTCTTATTGGTGATAGTCTAGTCCTAAAATATACTGCAGAAACATAGTTTTGAGATACTAATTTTTAATTTTTTTTTTACTTTAGTGAAATGTATGATTAGTTACTTGGATTTAAAATACACTTGTGACAATAAGAAAAATGATAATGTATACATTCTTAGTATAGTAAATTGTATTAGTTTAGGTTGAAACAAAATTACTTAGTAACCATAAGAGCTAAACTATCTTATAATTTTATAGGCATTTTTATTATTTCTTTCAACATTTACAACTATCTTTACAGGTTATCCTAATACAATAGTGTAACTGTTCTATATGCTACATTATACATATATTTATCTTTTTAAATTAGGTACATAACAAACAATGTATAATTCTATCCTTGAGAACTCACTCAGGGGATAATAAAATAAGTCTATTTCTCTTGATATCAAATTAAGTGTGCAGAGAGCGGCTGATGGTTGAAACAAAATTACTTAGTAACCATAAGAGCTAAACTATCTTATAATTTTATAGGCATTTTTATTATTTCTTTCAACATTTACAACTATCTTTACAGGTTATCCTAATACAATAGTGTAACTGTTCTATATGCTACATTATACATATATTTATCTTTTTAAATTAGGTACATAACAAACAATGTATAATTCTATCCTTGAGAACTCATTCATGGGATAATAAAATAAGTCTATTTCTCTTGATATCAAATTAAGTGTGCAGAGAGCGGCTGACGCATTAAGTTTGTCCTTTGGTTCTGCACGGCAAGTGATTGTGGCCGTCGTCATCTCCCTATGAATCTGTCTGGGACATACATGTTTAATATTAATATTCTTGGGTATAGATAAAAAACTATGCAAATTTTTTCAACAATCTTTTCTTTTTTTTTTAGGTCAGAAAACAAATTGGAGACGCATCATGCACAGCACTAATAGTTATGCGAGCTCCACGGCGCCGTTATGCACAGCAAGAAAAAGAATCCTGTCCACCTCCACCAAAACCAGCACCTAAATCCCATAAGCTCTTCTGGGGCACTCTCGGGGCTACTGTGCTTACAGGCGCAGCGGTTGTATATGCTAAGTATGTGCTATTGCTTTCAAGCATATTTAAGTGGTAGAGCCATGATACAGCTATGTTATGGTTGTAGCACTAATGGGTCGGCTCTACTGGGAAAGGTAATCAGAATGAGCGTAAAATAGCAGCTTAAGAGGACTACAAGAGCTAAGTGACCTTGAGTGATGCACGCATACATTTACACAATTTCTGTATAGCATCGGCCTAGGCCGGCACTGTTGGTATGCAGCCGTTTACTCACACATGTGTACATATTATGTTCAGAAATAAGAATATGCGACTAAAAAAATCTTGATTGAACTAAAAAAATTAAAACATGTTCGAATGGTGCTTAAATACATATTAGTATGGTTTTTAGTTGCCAAAAGAATATTTTATAGGTATCTTTGTGATTTTTTTCTATCGTATTAAATTAGTAGTATCATGTTTTCCACTCACTATCTAACTAGTAAATATCCTAAAAAATATCATATATTTTTCTAATTTTGTTTACTGCAGGAGATCATATAAAACTTGCGTTTAGCTTCTGTAGTCCTCTTAATGCTGCTGTGTTTTGTATAGTGAGAGCCTTTTTTACTGGAAACATGACATTCCATCTTAGTTCTCAGGGGTGAACGTATCTACATTTTGATTCTTAATCTTGATTGCAAAAGCAAGTCAAAAAGGTACATGACTACTATTGTTTATAATCATATACTAGCTGCTCTCCACAGCTTCGCCCGCGTGGTTACTCCTTATAATATCAGCTATATACTAGTCGAAAATAATTTGAACGCGTTGAAACACAACCATCCGCAATAGACCGCTCGCGGGTTCTGAGTGAACCCGTGTGACAGGTGGTAGCCTTTGTAATAAAATGTCTTTCGGTGCGGCCATGGTGGCGGCGTTCGTGGGGCGCGCGCGATACTGGGCATTATTATATCTTATTATTATATCTTATTATTATATTATTATTATACTTAGTGTTTACATAGGATTATGTTGAATGTATATTATTATTGTACTTCACTTTATTAATTACCTTTGAATTGGACTTTGTTCACAATTTAAAGGGTTTTAATTTTTTTACGCGGAACCCTAATTCGTTTTCTAAAAATTAAAGTAGCCTAAGTTACTCCTTATAACATCAGCAATCTACCAGTGAATGTCCCGTCAAAATCGGTCCAGCCGTTTCGGAGATTAGCCGGAACAAACAGACAGACAGACAAACAAAAGTTTTAAAAATGTATTTTTTGTTATAAGTACCGTATATACTTTCCTATGCATTAAGTAAAATGCTGTTATTTTGATATTACAAACAGACACTCCAATTTTATTTGTATAGATTATCCAAAATTCCTTCTTTTATTAAGTTTGTAGCAGAACTTTGTATGGTCTGCTACATAGTGCAAGAAATAGGTAAGAGGACATAGCAGGACAGACTTCTAGACAGAAAAGGAGTTCTCCCAGTAAACTCTAGTTTTTCATGACACAATATAAACATAAATTTTTTTGACCATCATTCATATCTAATACCTTTAAATGAACAATTCTTGTATTTATATATAATCGGTATCTCGGAAACGGCCCCAACGATTTCAATGAAATTTAGTATGCAGGGGGTTTTGGGGTCGATAAATCGATTTAGCTAGGATTCAAGGTGGTGGTGAGGAATCGGCGGTCATCTAACTATTATTTTTAATACTAGTATCGAATCTGGTGTGTTTCCCGATTTAATGAAGCATAGTAAAGTAATACCTTTATTTAAATCTGGTAGTTCATTAGACCCCCACCAATTGTAGACCTATTTCTGTACTACCAACACCTAGTAAGTCTTGATCAAATGTTAAATTTCTTTAGTATAAATAATTTGCTTTATAAATATCAATTTGGTTTCACAAGGGGTTGCTCGACAAATGATGCAGCTGTTGAGCTGATTAAATATGTCTTTAATGCATTGGAGAATTCACAGGATGCTTTGGGTATATTCTGTGACCTATCCAAGGCCTTCGATTGTGTTCACTATGAAACATTAATCAGGAAACTTCAACACTACGGTGTAAGAAGTGATGCTCTTAAATTAATTATTTCATATTTAAGTAAGAGAACGCAAAAAGTTGTCATTAACAATATGAGCTCTTCCGGATTGATGGTACAAATGGGCGTGCCTCAAGGCTCAATTCTCGGCCCCTTTCTGTTTCTTGTATACATTAATGACTTACCTTACATAGTAGGGGATAACCATGATATAGTATTATTTGCAGATGACACTTCTATAATTTTCAAATTAAGTCGACAATTACTAAAATCATCATCATCATCATCATTACAGCCCTTCACAAGTCCACTGCTGAACATAGGCCTCCCCCAAAGAATGCCACAAAGCACGGTCCTGAGCCACCTGCATCCATCGACTTCCTGCAAATCTTACCAGGTCGTCACTCCATCTAGTGGGGGGACGCCCTACACTTCGCCTGCCGGTACGAGGCTGCCACTCGAGAAACTTTCTTGCCCATCGGTTGTCGGTTCTTCGAGCTACATGGCCGGCCCATTGCCACTTCAGCTTACTAATCCGTTGGGCTATGTCGGTCACTCTGGTTCTACTGCGGATATCCTCATTTCTGAGTTTATCACGCAGAGAAACTCCGAGCATAGCCCTCTCCATAGCTCGCTGAGCGACCTTGAGCTTCCTCATCCGGCCAGCAGTGAAGGACCACGTCTCAGTTCCGTATGTCATCACTGGCAACACGCACTGGGTGTACAGTCTCGTTTTCAAGTTTTGAGGTATACCTGACGAGAAGATGTGCCGTAATTTCCCGAACGCTGCCCAACCGAGTTGAATCCGTCGATTGACCTCTCGGTCGAAGTTGGACTTACCTAGTCGGACTATTTGTCCCAGGTAAACATACTCGTCAACAACTTCGAGCTTAGTGTTCCCAACAACTACCGGCATAGGTGTGACATGGACATTAAACATGATCTTTGTTTTGTCCATGTTCATCTTAAGACCTATCCGTTGGGAAACACTATTGAGGTCATTGAGCATAGTGCTTAGGTCCTCCAGCGATTCTGCCATAAGGACTATATCGTCGGCAAATCGAAGGTGAGTGATGTACTCGCCATTGATGTTGATACCGTATCCTTTCCAGTCCAGAAGCTTGAAAACATCTTCCAATGCAGCGGTGAAGAGTTTCGGGGATATGACGTCACCCTGTCTTACACCTCTCTGCAATTGGATAGGTTTCGTACTCTGGTTCTGTACTCGGATAGCCATCGTAGCCCTACTGTACAAGCACTTCAACACTTCGATATACCGACAGTCAACTTGGCATCGCTGAAGGGACTGCAGCACCGCCCAAATTTCGACGGAATCAAAGGCTTTCTCATAGTCCACATACGCCAGACATAGTGGCAAATTGTACTCCTCGGACTTCTGTACAATTTGCCGAAGGGTATGTATGTGGTCTATGGTGCTAAAGCCTTTTCGGAAACCGGCTTGTTCGGGAGGCTGGAAGTCGTCAAGTCTGCGCGCGAGACGATTCGTAATGACTCTCGAAAACAGCACGTAGACGCGGCTCAGAAGGGAAATCGGTCTGTAGTTCTTCAAGAGAGCGTTGTCGCCTTTCTTGAAGAACAAGACCACCGCACTTTTGCTCCACGCCTCCGGTGTAATGCCACCATGGAGGACGGAATTAAAGAGCTTCTGAAGGACTTCAAGTACCGGTTTTCCACCCGCTTTCAGAAGCTCCGCTGTAATTCCATCCTGGCCTGGGGCCTTGCCGTTTTTAAGGTGCTGGAGAGCCATTCTAATCTCGCTCAGACTGACGTCCGGGATATCATCGGAATAATGTCGGATAAGACTCGCTCTTGGATCGTTACTCACACTTGCGTGTGGCTCCAACGATGACGTGTACAGCTGCCCATAGAACCTCTCAATCTCACTCAAAATCTCAGGTGCCCCGGAAACGATGCTGCCACATTCGGTCTTCAGCTTTGACAGTTGGCTCTTTCTGGCAGACAGATCTCTGGCAAAGACTTTGGAGCCTTGGTTCCGCTCGATCGCTTCTTCAATACGAGCTATATTGAAGTTGCGTAAGTCCCGCCGCATGCATTTGGAGATCTGTCTGTTCAGTTGCCTGTATGCTGTCAAATCTGTTGAAGAATGTAGCTTCATCTCCCGTCTAACAGCCATGAGATTAAGAGTGTGATCGGAGAGTTTTTGTGTTCTTCTGCGGCGGGTCTTGCAGAACTTAGCTCCGACCGCATGGACAGTTTCCACGAGCTTGTCATTCAAATCGTCCACTTCATTGCAGTCTTCTAGGCACTGAAAACGGTTTTGCAACTCGAGCTGAATGGTTTCGGGACTTTGGATTAGAGCACGAGGGGGACGGAGTGTTGACTTCATTAGACGAGACCTCTCCAACTTAACGTTTAGGTTCAGTGTGCCTCTAACCATTCGGTGATCGCTGCCGGTTTTTACCCTCGCGATCACTGAGACATCACTGAACAGTTGTCGTCTGGTCGTCATAATGAAGTCAATCTCATTTTTTGTCGAACCGTCGGGGCTCGACCAGGTCCACTTCCTGTGGGGCCGCTTCTGGAAGAAAGAGTTCATCATAAAGAGTCCCTCTTTCTCCATGAAGTCGGCCAACTGCTGGCCCCTTGGGTTCCGTTGCCCTATTCCAAATTTCCCTACTTTCAGCTCACCGTTCTCTCTTGTGCCTAGTTTTGCATTGAAGTCTCCCATTAACACCGTATATTGGGTTTTGGAGGAATGCATGGCTCTAGAGATATCCTCATACATTTCCTCCACCTCCTGATCGGGGTGTGCCGAGGTTGGTGCGTAAACCTGTATGACCTTCAGCGAATACCGTTTGGTGATTCTGAGTATAAGGTACGCAACCCTCGTCGACACACTCTCAATCTTTACAACGTTGTTAACGAGAGACTTGTGGACGATAAATCCGACACCTCCTTGGGACAGATGGTCGCCCTCCCGGTGATAGAGCAAGTTGCCGGATTCGAGGATTACCGTGTCCTCCCCCTCTCTTCGGACTTCGGATAATCCTATAATATGCCAGCGTAACTTGTCTATCTCTTCTTCCAGCTCCACAATCTTCTCGTCAGTCCTCAGGGTGCGTGCGTTGTATGTTGCCAGGTCGAGTCGTTGTAGGTGGCAACCGAACCTCCACCGGAGATTCTTAGCACCCCCTGCCCCGCCGTTACCATGGTCGCCACCGTAGCCAGGAATAGCGGGGCCGCCGGGGACTGGGGGCCGTCTCTTCGTTACTTTCATTATGGGGGGTATATTGCCATAGTTGCCACGCTTGGCGAGCGGGTTGGCAACCGCAGTTTTTTATTGTATTTTGTCGTTACCAGGAAGATGCTGCTGCCCATCTCCTGCCTGTTTCCCTTTGTCGCCTTTTACGACACCCACGGGAAGATATGGGGTAGTGGATATTCTTAACCGCCACTACACGGCAACTAATACTAAAATATGACAAAGTAAATAATGCTATATCTAAATTAGTAAATTGGATCAATGTTAATAATTTGCATTTAAATGGCATTAAAACGAAATGTATGAAATTCATGACTCCAAATGTCAAACAATTAAATACTAATGTAATTTTAAATGGGGAGGAACTGGCTCTTGTAGATACCACCATTTTTCTTAGAATCACATTAGACGCGAATCTTAAATGGAGCCCCCATATATCAAAATTAGCAAGCAGACTTAGTTCTGCAGCATATGCTGTAAAAATGTTTAGAAATCTTACCAGTGTTGAAACAGCTAGACTAGTTTACTTTAGCTATTTCCATAACATAATGTCGTATGGTATATTGCTATGGGGACACGCAGCTGACACTAAAATTATATTTGTATTACAGAAGAGGGCCATAAGAGCAATTTATGATTTAAAGACTGAAGTGTCGCTGTGACAAAAATTTAAGGAAATTAATATATTAATTTTGGCCTCTCAATACATTTATGAAAATGTAATGTATGTACACAAAAATAAAAGTAGTTTTACAACAATAAGCGATATTCATTCTGTAAATACTAGGAACAGACACAAGCTAGTAGTACCAGTTACACGACTCCATCGTGTCAGTAATTCATTCTTGGGGCGATGTATACGCTTTTACAACAAAATTCTAAAAAATATACAAAATTTGACCTGCTTAAAATTCAAAAACTTTTTTAAACAAAGTTTGTATAAAAAGGGTTATTATAATCATAAGGAATTTATGAATGATAATAACCCCTGGGAGTGAGGTGATCGCTACCAAGCTATTTCTAATTTGTTGTGTTGTTAATTGTGTAACATACATGATTGTAAGCTGTTATTTAAAAAAAAGTCCCACTGGGTTTCTTGCTGGATCTTCCCAGGACAGAGGTCTTTTTTTTGAACCAGTGGTAATTAATCAAAAGAGTGACTTTTAATAAGTATTATTTATAATCTATATTGAATAAAAAAGTTCCTGTTCCTGTTCCTGTTTCTGTCCAGAAACCAGAAGATCCCGATTCGAGTCCAGATATCTCCAGTCCAATTATTTTTTTCCAAGTTTTGTGAGAAAAACTATTATTGGGAGCCCTGTATCAATGCATCTAATTTGTCATAATAAATCCAATTAAGTAGGAAGTTTCTGCAAAGAGGGAATTTCAATTTATACAATTAATTTGTTTTAATATTGATTTACCATTTATTTATATTTAAATTACAGTTCTACCATATTTTAGCCTTGAATGAAAAAGATATTACAATTAGTATTCACATAAACAAGAAATCACACCTTTTTACAATGTTTTTATTATCTCACTTTCGTGTATGTCTGTTTGGGTCATATTTAGTAATTGATTTTAAAGCAACTTCCTGATGAACTACCGACTTAAATTTTTAAACATAGCTAAGAATCGGGTGATAATTTAAGGATATGAAAAAAAAAAAACAAAAAGAAGTTTTATACTGTTAACACTGTCCGGTTTTCAGATACAATAGTAAGAAAATAGCGATGACCTATAATATAGTGCACGTGATAGTAAAAGTGCTAAAACATGATATATTTTTAAAAAAAAACCGATTGACTTGTTATATTTGAAAACGAAATTAATTTCTTTGTCACCAAGTGATCAAGATGTGCATTTTTGTACATTATTGAATTTTTAAAAATAGCATTATTTTTACAAACCTGAAGTATTTCATATCATATCATACATATCATTTTAACTGTATAGTCATGCATCATTCATTTAATTACAGAAGCAGTCCAGATGCCCGAAATTGGTTAGAATCAAATGCACCATGGGCAAATGATTTTATTGCTCTTGTGTACCAAGAGAACACAACATACTGGAAATCCACAGTCAATCAATTCAACAAAGCTACCAGTGCTATCAGTAATTTTATGTTTGGAAAGGTAAGCAAATCACATATACATTTTGGGACTCCAAAAAGACAGATGTGATCCTGTTGGATGCCGAATATACGATAAATTTTTAAACCATAAGTGCTGAATATCTGATGCTAGTTCTAAAAGCCCTGATCAAAGGGCCAGACATAGGCTTGCGGTAAAGATTACCGCGGTTTTACTCGCGGCTCGTCGTGATGAAACATGCAGGTTGTCGATGAATTCAGGTGGCTCAGAATAATACTTTGTGGCGATCTATGAGAGAAGACCATAAATTGTCACAAACATTTAAAATTTGGTATAGTACAAATGGGTTGACTCAGCTGGAGAAGGACCACACTCTCACAGAATATCAGTGTGAAATAGCTTAATGCTGCTGTTTCATATAGTGAGTGTAGAGAACAATTTTTGGGTTTTCGGTTCTATTATTATTGGTAGTTCTTATATATTATGGGAAACAAGGCATTCCATCTTAGTTCTCAAAGGTGACAACATATCTGCATTTTGATTTTTAACCGAGGATAGATGTAGATGTCTACAGGCCACACCATTCACTTAGTATTATGTGCTTGTTGTCATGTGTCAACCTTATTCTATTAAATAGGCCAGCTGTGGACTTGTAATGGGCTTTAATGATTGTGATAGTAAAGAAGAGTAGTACGTGGTAGAGCCATGCTGCAGCTATATTAGTAGTATAGTTGTAGCACGAATGGGTCGGCTCGACCTGGGAAGGACCACACTCTCACAGAAAACCAGTGTAAAATAACAGCTTAACACTGCTGTGTTTCGTATGGTAAGTGTAGAGAACCGGAGACCCTTTTTACTGGCAAAGAGGCATTCCATCTTAGTCCTCACGGGTGACAACGCATCTGCATCTTGAGTCTTTATTGAGGATAGATGTAAAGATGTCTATGGGTCATAGTAACCACTTACCATCAGGTGGACTGTGGACTGTGTGCTCGTTTGTCACCATGTCCTATAAAAAAAAAGAAAAACAAGAGCACAAGTAATTTTTACTCATTTTGTTGTTTGTTAATTTTCTTAAGCTAGAATTTAAATTCGGAACTTGTGTGGCATTCAAATGTTCTTATGTAAGCTAGTGGCTTAATAATAATATATCTCATTTAAATTTTTAGGAAGGTGTATCGCCACTTGATTTCAAACAAAGGTCAGAACAAGACTTAGAAAAAGATGCAGCTAAAGCTTTCGCGAAAAAGGACTATGAATGTAAGTTGAATACAAACAAACGTAAATAACTATTTGAAAATGGAAAGTGTAGATGGTTAGACATTCAACAAGAGCCATTGTTATAAAACAGTAAATGCACCTTGTAATAAAATATAAAAGAGTATATAAATAAGCTTAAAAATTTTAATAGAGAAAGTATGTCAACACTAATATGGCTTCACTAAACTTAACTAGATATTCGTGTAAAAATTATTATCATCATCATTACAGCCCTTCACAAGTCCACTGCTGCACGGTCATGAGCCACCTGCATCCATTGACTTCATGCATTTCTTAACAGGTCGTCACTCCATCTAGTGGGGGGACGCCCTACACTTCGTCCGCCGATACGAGGCCGCCACTCGATAACCTTTTTTCCCCATCGGTTGTCGGTTTTTCGAGCTATATGGCCGGCCCATGCCACTTCAATTTACTAATCCGTTGAGCTATGTCGGTCACTCTGGTTCTGCTGCGGATATCCTCATTTCTAAGTTTATCACGCAGAGAAACTCCGAGCATAGCCCTCTCCATAGCTCACAGAGCGACCTTGAGCTTTAGGTTTAGGTTCAGTGTGCCCCTAGCGATTCTGTGATCGCTACCAGTTTTCACCCTCGCGATCACTAAGACATCACTGAACAGTTGTCGTCATAATGAAGTCAATCTCATTTTTGTCGAACCTTCGGGGCTCGACCATGTCCACTTCCTGGGGAGCCGCTTCTGGAAGAAAGAGTTCATCATAAAGAGTCCCTCTTTCTTCATGAAGTCGGCCAGCTGCTGGCCCCTTGGGTTCCGTTGCCCTATTCTAAATTTCCCTACCTTCAGCTCACCGTTCTCTCCTGTGCCTAGTTTTGCGTTGAATTCTCCCATTAACACCGTATAAGTGGGTTTTGGAGGAATGCATGGCTCTAGATATATCCTCATACATTTCCTCCACCTCCTCATCGGGATGTGCCGAGGTTGGTGCGTAAACCTGTATGACCTTCGGCGAATACCGTTTGGTGATTCTGAGTATAAGGTACGCAACCCTCGTCGACACACTCAAACTTTACAACGTTGTTTACGAGAGATTTGTGGACGATAAATCCGACAGCTACTTGGGACAGATGGTTGCCCTCCCGGTGATAGAACAAGTTGCCGGATTCGAGGTTTACCATGTGCTACCTCTCTCTTCGGACCTCAGATAATCGTATAATGATCCAGCGCAACTTGTCTATCTCTTCTTCCAGCTCCAGGATCTTCTCGTCAGTCCTCAGGCTGCGTGCATTATATGTTGCCAGGTCGAGTCGTTTTAGGTGGCAACCGAACCTCCACCGGAGATTCTTGGCACCCCCTGCCCCGCCTTTACCATGGTCGCCACCGTAGCCAGGAATACCGGGGCCGCCGGGGACTGGGAGCGGTCTCTTCGTAACTTTAATTATGTGGGGTATATTGCCATAGTTGCCACGCTAAGCGAGCGGGTTGGCAACCGCAGTTTATTTATTGTTGTTTTGCTGTTATCAGAAAGATGCTGCTGCCCATCTTCTGTCTCAGTTTCCCTTTGTCGCCTCTTACGACACCACGGGAAGATATGGGGTAGTGGGTATTCCTACCCGCCACTACACAGGGATTGTATAAAAATAGGATACAATAATTGTTAGCTACCACATTTACTTGGTCACTATCTATTTAATTATTAAATATTTCTTTATAATGTTAAAAAGTGGTCTTTCGCTGCTGGCTACATGCGGAAGCTCAAGATTGCTCAGCGAGCTATTGAATTGGCTATGTTTGGAGATTATATATTACTATAGACTATAGACTTTGAGGATATCTGCAGTACCAGAAAGAACTAGAGTAACTTACCATACCTAGTAATCAGTAAGCTGAAGTGGCGTTGGGCCAGCCACATTACTCCGAGAATGAACAAACAATAGGAAGAAAAGGTTCTCGAGTGCAGTCTCGTACCGGTAAGCTCAGTATCGGTACGAGGCTGCCAGGTGGCTTTCCACTAGGTGGAGATGCAGAAAGTCCATGGATGCAGGTGTCCATGGACTGCAGTAGCCACTTACCATCAGGTGGACTGTCAGATCGTATATCTCTTTAGTTTTATAAAAAAAGACTTATTTTGCTTGAAAACCATATAATATGATTAAATTTCGTATTCTACATTCAAAGATATGTAATATTAAGGTAAAATTCTGGCATTTCCTTTACATTTTTTTAATTTGAATGTACATAATATACACCATTGTTTGCTTCAGTATTCAGTTGTAAATATAATATAGTTTTCATTTAACTAACAATTCATTCACTTGTTTAACAGTACCCCCTCCAAAATTTGAACCACTGTACATTGAAGAAAAGCCAGCAGTGACTCCAGAAGTTGAAACTACTGGTAAATATTCATTGAATGATGTATATTAATTAATTGCTAGTTACATTTTACAGATATAAGTTTGTTTTATTTTTTACTTAATGTATGTTTCCTGGTTAGCTTTTAGCCCTCATTATTATGGTGTATTATAGTATAAAATAGTCTGGGAAACCCAAAAGTGAACACCTCATGAGCTTTTCATTTAATTTTGATGAAAAAAAAATAGTGACTATAATTTTAAAAAGAAAAAGAAAACAGAAACTGATCGATTTTCATTAATAACTATTAAACGGTGTTCAATAAATCAAAAGTTCAATAACAAAAATCATAATCTATTGCTTACATTTCTATTAAGTGAGAAGATTCACCGGTCAACAGACCAATGGACGACAGTCCATTTTTTTTTCAATTACATTTTTTGTTATGTAATTTATTGTCTGTATATGGATTTTTCATGTCTAGCTATAAGTATTAGAAAAGTATTTTAAGTAGCGAAATTGAGGTGTGGTCGTGACTTTTGGACAATTCGGTCAACAGAATACACAACTTATTCTCTTAAAAAATATAGGCTGTACTTATTCCAAATATGATTTTTTGTCTCGCAGCTACATTAGTTCAAACAGAGAAATGCGAACCGCAAGAACCTCAACCTATAGTGATAACTAAAGACATGGTGGAGTTGGAGCACGAAATGCACGAAAACACGAAGATCGCCATGGACAATTATAAACAGGCAACACAGTATTGCATCGATTATAACAAGGCGCTGTTTAAAGTAAGCATTTTGTTTTACGAATGCCACTTGAGTTTCGTAAAAATGCGTATTATTTCTTCAATATCTAATTAGTTCTTCACATTATTGACTCTCTTAACATAATTTTGTCAGTGTCATGTCAGTCATGGGTGTGTCACTAATATACAATATGTAACAAAAACCCTGTGGTTACCGTTAAGTACGTTATCAGGATCAGTGTTCAAACGTATAGAAATAACTTTTTTAAAACTCGAACAATATTTATTTTATTTTATTTAAAAAAAAAATTGTATGCAAATTGTATGTGGTTTTATTACCTCTGCATTGTCTGGGGCGTAAGAGGATTGTCAAAGACCTCGCTTTACTTAGCTTTAGCATCGGCTAGTGTCAGTAAGAGGTAATAAAACCACATAAAATTATTTTTTTTTAATAAAATAATAAAAATATGGTCGTTTAAAAAAAAAGTTATTTCTATAGGTTGGAATACTGATCCTAATAACGTAAGTACTTATCGGTAACCACAGTGTTTTTGTTACATGTTGTAAAATATAAATTTATTAATTTGTAAGAGGTTTCCAAATGAACATCAAAAACAACAGAACGTTAGTTATTATGTTACAATTTAAAATTAGAGATATGGATAAAATGAGATAAAATATTTACACTTCATTTTAGTTCTGTCACTCTTGAGAACACATCTGCAGTGTCTTTGTTTGAGGTGGGTTGCAAGTGTGTTCATGGGCTAAAGTAGCCTCTTACCATCAGATGGACTGTCCGTTGTCGCAGGTAGTTTGTTACTAACATTATTTAAAAAAAACTTGTAAAGATGGTTCGTAAAATGGCATGGTCTTAATATAGCATGTATCAGTAAAAACCAATTTTTACTGATACATGCTATATTAAGACCATGTTTGTTTAGTTGCATGTTTGATTTATAAATTATAAAGTAGTGCGTGCTTGATGGTAACTGGTCATGGGGGGGGGGGGGGTAAAATTCTCTAATTTAGTAAAATCCTCTTTAGGTCACCCTGTGCATTAGAACTGAAAGATGCGAAGCAAATTATTCGTATCCTTTGCTGTATATGTTAGAAATGCTGGAACAAAAGGGTCGAGTATCCTGTCGTCAATAAATGACGAATAAAACTATCAAATAAAATTACACGCAGTTGCAGTTTGATTTTCTGACATTGCATGTGCTAAGTTACTTAGGACGATTCCTTCATTGTGCACACTGCTTTACATGCCATAATTTTTAGGTAGTGGAGTCCCCTCTTGAAGATTTGGACAAAAAACACTTTTCGGCACTTCGAGGCGCTCAAAACGAGAGGGATTCTACTATAAAAAAGGCGCAGCAGGCTGCTACTAAAGCGAAATGCGCTATTGGTAAGACCTTCGGATTATTTTTATAAGTAAATAGCTGGTACTCGGCGTATTGCTGCCGCAGAAGATACAATTGTGGAAATATCATTTTAAATTTAGAAGGGCTGTATATTTAATTAGAAGTGATTACATTCATTGAAAGTGAATGATATATGACTTTAAAATAAACTTGTCAGTACGATACGCGTGCCACCTACTGTAAATTAATTGTACCATACCTATAACCTTCGCGCAATTGCAACCAATAAGTTGATAAAGTTTTAGCGTAGTCTAATGAACGGTATGGCAGCGCATAAACAAACATAAATTTTATTATATTAGATATTTCAGAAGGTGTTGTCAACGATTATAGACGTTAAGCCGTGTAATTAAAGTAACATATATTAAGTTTTGAAACGGGTGATGATCAGCAGCATCATCCTGATAACTTAAAGTAATAAAAAGTTGTCAATCAGCTCGCCAAGCGGGAAACTATGACAAAAATCCCTTCTATGAGGCAATTTATGATGGAGGCCCATGTTCATCAGTCGACTTTTAAAAAACTTTTTTTTATACGATAAGGTGATAAACGAGCACACAGTCCACCTGATGGTAAGTGGTTGCTGTGGCCTATAGACGTCTACATCTATCCTCGTTTGTGAATTAAAATGCAGATGCGTTGTCACCCGTGAGAACTAAGATGGAATGCCTCTTTTCCAGTAAAAAGGGTCTCCGGTTCTCTACACTCACCATACGAAACACAGCAGCATTAAGCTACTATTTTACGCTGATATTCTTTGAGAGCGTGGTCCTTCTCCGGTCGAGCGGATCCATTCGTGCTACAACTATACTACTAATATAGTTGCAGCATGGCTCTACCACGTATAACTTACGTAAACTGACAGTTCTCCTGATGGTAAGTGGCTACTACAGCCCATGAACACCTGTAGCCAACTTCAAACAATCCTTTGTTTGCTATGGCTACGGTTGTGTTGTCTCTTCTGATTGCTAAAGTGGAATACCTCTTAGTCCATAGTTATTCCACTTTCTACACTCTTCAGACTGTAACACAACAGTGCATGCACTTCTACAACAAGAATAGATAAGGGGTGACACCTACCCAGATGGAGTCCTAGCCAAAAAAGTAGTCCTATCACCTCATAATATCTGGTGGATTTATATTTTTGAGTCGTAACACATGTAAATTACAAAATTAATGTGCTAAGTTCCATAGAATAGAATAAAATAGAATCATTTTTATTTAATATAGATTGATTACATGTAATACTTATTAAAAGTAATTTTTTACTTTTAACGAAAAAAAACTCCCAGAAAGAACCAGCAAGAAACCCAGCGGGACGTTTTTTAAAAGCACCCCTGGGAATGAGGTGATCGCTACCAAGCTATGCAAGTGTAGTTAATTATGTAACCTATACAGTTGTAAACTTTTATTTTTATTAAAGAAAGTCCTGGTGGGTTTCGCGCTGGTTCTTCCCAGTAGGCGGAGGTATTTTCCGAACCATTGGTAAATTAAACATAACGGTGACTTTTTATAATTATTATTCTTATTAAGTTTCTGTTTCTATACTATAGTCATTGTCTGTCTGCTGGCTTGGGTTGCGGTTGGGATCTGCCAAAAACTTTAAAATGTGACACATCAACACGTTGTGCAGAATTTTTGAAACAAATTATTTTAACGGATAATTTGTTAATATACTTGACACTGGCAGGAATACAACTGTACGAGTCCAATACCAAAGAAAAAAAGAAACTAAAATTATTGTTATTTTGATATCAACACAGTTAGTGAATAGGTTTGCAGGTGGGCTGTTGGTATCTTTGTCACTCTTAATGTTTAAAAATCTCTTCTAGAGACTCTGGACCGCATGATAAAAGCGGGAGTTAAAGCCCCACCAGAAACCATTGCGGCGACGCAACGTTACATTAAGAAGTTCCGAGCTGATCTTCATGAAGCTGAGACAAGATATAAGGAAGAATTGGAGAAAGCAACCCTCAGCGACAAGTATTGGAATAAGGTTGGTTGGATATTTGATATGCTTAAGTTGCAATGAGCGGGCCATGTAGCTCGAAGAACTGACAACCGATTGGGAAGAAAGGAAGGACGGTCTCCCCCCACTAGATGGAGTGACGACTTGGTAAGACATGCAGGAAGTCGATCGATGCAGATGGCAGAAAGTCGATGGGTGCTAGTGGCTCAGGATCGTGCTTTGTGTCATTGCTTGGGGGAGGACCATGTTCAGCAGTGGACTTGTGATGGGATGTAATGATGTCGAAGATGATAGTATTGTTTTGATTGTAATGAATGGCTAATACACTTATGGACTAATTTAGAGGAACGCAAAAAGAAAGGTATAGTTTCTCCTGTTGTAATTATCTTGCTTTTATGTAATTATTGCGTAATATTGCGTGCTTTCTTTCGTTAACTATTTGACATAACAGCAATAATGTTGGTGACATTGACATGTGATAGATGACCATAACATCAAAGGACATAATATGCACCTTTAATCCGGCTAAAAATAGCAATAAGATTCACTTATATAAGTGACATCGTCAAAAATTTACAGTTTTAATTTTTGTTCTCATTTTATTTATACTGAAGTCGGTTGTACAAAATGTTTAATTTTATCACTTGTTAAAAGTATTTTTTTTACAGGTAGAAGCAGCCAGAAATGCGTTCAGAGAAGAGTTGCAGATGTTGTTCCCAGGAGTCGATTTAAGCGCTCGCAAACTCGAACTTAAAGGGGACACTGATTTACTTTTAATGTATGCATTGAAAAAGGTAATTTAAAAAAATCTTCGAAATAATAGCGACAAATATTACTGAAAAAGTTACTGCCTTTATAACACGAAAAAAAAATTAACTTAAAAAAAGACTAATACTATAATTAACATATTGTACACGTGTTATAAATGTTGTACATATTTTCAGGTCCAATATTTGCAAAATGCAATTGCGGAGCTTCAAACAGTGAGGGAACAGAAAATTAACAGAGCTATTGAGTGTGAGTAGATTTCGGTATTTCTGACTTGTATATTTTTAGATTATCCGTTCCCCGTGACTAATTATTGTGTTTTAATTATTTTTGCGCGGAACCCTAATTCTTTTTCCAAAATAAAAGTAGCCTAAGTTACTCCTTATAATATTAGCTATCTGCCAGTGAAAGTCCCGTCAAAATCGTTCCAGTCGTTTCAAACAGACCGATAGACCGACAAAATGTTTAAAAATTGTTTTTTTTTTGTTATAAGTACCATATAGTTTTAGTTAAATTACAGTTACAATTAGTTAAATTGCAAACAGACACTTCAATTTTATTTATTTGTAAAGATGATTGCTCCATTTGTCTAGTGGTCCTAAACGCGGCTGCTGATCGTGAGGTCTAAGATTCAAATCTCGGGCTAGCCAAAAAAAAGTTATTGAGTGGCGGTGTTTCATCACCTTGCTTCGAAAAGCAAGTAAAGCCTGGTTCTGTGCCTGATTTTTCTCCGATTGTGTCGGATTGCGACAGCAATCGGACTATGAGAGGGAGGGAATAGAAAGTGTCCCTGTGCTTGCACACATACACTCGTGCACTACAAACCTATCTTGTGCAGATGGCTGTATTCATTGAGACTGACTGCTGTTACCGAAAGTCGGTCTGGTGGACGTCATTATTATGTTTCCATTAATTTGAAAAAAAAAATTGATATCTTAGGCCACGACGAAAGGGCTATCATTGAAGCAAAAGTTGAAGAAGTAGTCAAACGGGAGCTGCTGCAAAAGGAGTTGGAATTCCAAAAGAAGGTACTTTTCTATGATTATTTACTCGGCGTCAAAAATCATTCATCGTATTACATTAATCCTCCATTAATTACAGCCTTTCAAAAGAACATTATTACAGTCAGTGACATCGCGTTTGATGTTGTGAGAAAAGCCGACAATATATTGCTAGGGTTGTCAGAACGGGAAGTATTAAAAAAAAAAACTGATTTTATTTTATTTCACGTTTAAACAAATGTTTCTGTGTTCCTGATGAAACTTTAATTCCTTATCTTTAAATGAGGAGTGTGAACCATTTTAATTTATTTGCGTGACATGACAACCATAGCGGATAGTGGTCAGCCCGCGTCTCGGGCCACATAGACGCCTTCGATGACTGACTGTTAGTAGTAGTTACACTGTGACATAGGCCTCAGCCATATATTGCTTCATATATATTTGTCATAGATACCACGTTTGACGGGGTCATCCGCAGATTTTTATTATTTTGAGTTGCTAGATAATGCTGCTGCCCATCTCGTTTCATTTACCTCTCGTCTTCGACACCATGATGGCTGGTGTCGCTGTTTTACGGAATAGAACACCATACACCAATAATTCGAACATACTACGCTTATTATGGGCCTTATCATGGGCAGCAGCATCTTCCTGATGACAACTCAAAATAATGGAAACTGCGTTTGTCTACCTTCCTCCCAAGAATGGCAACTATGGTATTTAGCCCCCCTCTGAGGCAGTGGGAGAGGCCAGTGTTCAGCTGAGGGCTTTGAAGGCTGTAAAGAAGATAATTATGATGGTGATGATGATTTCATAAAATATATTTACGTATTTCGTATATGATTTTTTTTTGTTTAAAAAGGCGTAGTTTGTCTAATAATAATTTAATTGTTAGAGCTTAGAGGTACAAGCGGTTGCAAACAGACAGCTGAAGGAACAGTTAAAGAGACAGTTTGAGATTCAGCAAGAGATACTTCAGGAGAGACTTGCAAAGAAGGACAAAGAGGTAAGTTCCTAATTAAGTTATTAATTTATTTATAGAAGAATTCTCCATAAAATTATATTTTGATGTGTTTCTATTTTGCTGACTTGTATAATAGATGTTTTAAAATTCTAAGTCAAAACTTTATTCTGGCTTGTTTAAAGCTTTAACTTCTAATTAAATTTAAACTTCAGAATCTACATATGATCAGAAAACAAAATTAAACCCATCCATCAGAAGAACCTGCTAGAAACTCTGGGTCCATTATTTTAATGCCATATTACAATTGCATTGACAAAATGTCAATTGTCTATAAATTGTACATACATACATATAATCACGCCTCTTTCCCGTAGGGGTAGGCAGATACCACTTCTTTCCACTTACTACGGTCCTTACATACTTGTTTCGCTTCGTCCACTTTCATTATTCCCTTCATACATGCTTTTCGGTTTAGGGTACTCTTGACCTGGCCTTTTTCATAAATTGTATATGAAATAATTATTTCTTCCTCGATATAATTTATTTTATAGTTCGAATTTTTTAACAGAAATATCGTATAAAGGTTGCTTTTTAATTTTGATGTCAGATTATTGCATTATATATTGAGTTAAATCATTTTATAATGATAACCACTTATTTGCATAAAACATGATATTTTATTTGTCTTATTCATTTTAATAGCTCTAGTCTACCAACAGTTGTTTCCTTTAAAAATATAATAATTATCAATCTTGCAAATAATCCAGTTAAATATGACAACTATTTATAAGCAAACACCGCTTGTTTAGATGTTTAAATACTAAAATACTCAATGAAATAGAGAAAATGATTATAATTATTAGATAGAATTTAATTTAGTGAACAATCACTTCGATGATTTCGAATTGATTGTGGTTATATCTTTAAGTTCATCTTACTGTTTTGTTCTCTTAATTTGTTTGTTGGATGTTTAATAATTGAGCCGTTCTATTAATTTTTGAATGTTCCTTGTTTTTAATATAATCATTTTATGAAAAACAAAAAACAAAATAAGAATATGGCAGTGGTAGATAGGAATTGTATCTTAAAAAATGTGCTCTATATATATTTAGGAGGAAAACAATGAAATACGTTTATATATCACTTTCTCTCTCCCTCTCTCTCTCTCTCTCTTTCTCCCCCTCTCTCTATCTCTCTTTCTCCCCTCTCACTCCCTCGTATTTAAAATTATACTGGTAAATAATATATATTCATCGTTACAGCCTATCAAACTTCACTGCTGAACATAGGATAGATAGATTTCCATCTAAATATCCCCGTTTGCGATAGTTAGCACGATTGGCAGGTGGGTAAGCTAACTTTAATTTTAACTTTTTAGTTATTGTTAGGAAGATAATACTGCCTTTCTCCTGCTTTATTTCAGTCTGTCGGCTATTACGACACTCACGGGACGATATGGTGTTCTGAATATACCAAAACCGCAACTATGCGTTCATTATATATATCTAGTGTCTATGGTTTTTAACGTACATATTGTAAAATTAACAAAGACACCCTACTTTTTAGGTATTAAGTAAATTCAATAAAGTCGTGTCGGAACAAGTGGAGAAAGAACGAGTCATTTTCAAGAAAGATATGGCAGCGATGGCCGGCAAACTGATGGCTATAGAGCAAACTCTAAAACGTGAGTATTGCCACCTAACGTGTCTCTATATTATTGATTAAATCTGTTTCATTTCTTATCTTTGTTTCAATTCTCGTAGCTAGAGGGTATTGAGAATTTCCCGCCCCGCATTCCTAGATTATAATTAATTATTGTTTTCTTCCTAGAGAGGGCGAAGGCTGAGGCAGAAGCTCGTCGTTCGCAGTCACTATGGGCGGCTGCCGAAGCCCTGCTCGCAGCTACACGGAGAGGCGGCTCTGAGGCTAAAATTGACAACGAAATCAAAGCGCTCGAGAAAGCGGGTATTATTAAACTTTAATATTTTATTTTCATTCTTTAAAATTTAACTTATGGTAACTTTAGTTTTTATTAGGCGGACAAATAATTGAGAACATTTTTTTGTATGTCACATGTATGGGCTATAGGTAATATGCATTAAACTATTAGGTACTTCGTACTAGAAGCAACACTGCATTTAGTTACGCTGTCCCATTTAATTGCGGCGATGTCGCCGCACTTTACTCATTCACTCGCTAGGCGCTAGTGCGCATGTGCTGTGTTGATTACATCAAAAAAATGTCTTGATAAAATATGCCATAGTATGTTATGATATTGCACCAATAATTCAAGAAAAGTTAGCAAATACCAAGGAATAACTTTTCATCGGTAAGATATTAAATTAATAAAAAAGTATTATAGATTAATAATCAAACTAATCATTCCTAAGACGCCATCTCGTGACATGGAATATAGATTATGTAATTAATATATTCAGACTATTATATTATGCACATTTTTTTTTGTAGAAACAAATAGAACTATTCATAACTAGGCTAAATATCTGATATTTCAATTTGCTCACTATTCTTTTATTATATTTTTAGGTTTCCAAGTCTCAGCTATGAAAACAGGGAAAATTAGAATAGATTCACTTTTCGTGCCCAGCATTTATGAACGACTCTTATTCTAATCTAAATAAATATATTTGTAAATTAAATTAAATGTTATATTAATAAGTTTTTTATATGTTACAAAGTTACCTTTTAAAATATTGAATTAAAAATATCATTAAAATGTGATGTAAAATTATATTATGTTATTTTAAATAGGCACGCACATATTATATGAAAAATATGGCATATATAAAAAATTGTACTCGATATAATTTACATAATTAACAAAATATTTTTTTTACATACTGATCATTCTACCTACGTACGTATAATCTATGACCAAAACCAACCGCACATACGCCACACTACTCTTCCCTGCGCATACGTGAAGACAATGAGTAGCGTACATTTTTTGTTTGGTTAGCTGTCCTAGTACGTAAGTACATATCACTTCAATGGTAATAGGTATAGGGTGGCGTTGGGTACCGTGCAATAATTGATACGAGCTGTATAAAGACAGCAAAATTAATCAAATATATTTAGTAGTAGCTTAGCCACAGAAATTTTTGTTTTAGTATTTTTTACAAATTATATAGATAAATAATTTTCATTAGGCGAATGTCCGAAAAAACGACGTAGTCACCTTTAAATAGTACAATTTTCGTTATACATGCTGTTATAATTAATTTATTTTCTTTAAAATTTTACTTTTGACATAAGAACAAAATTAATTACTTTAAAATCTTTTATCGAACTAGTAATGACGATTTATTGTATGGTGAGTCATAAACAACCTGTATAAGCTGCTCACCTTTTCTCCATTATTTCATTTACACACAGTGTTTTCTGTTGATTTACGGACATGGCTCTTTCGACCGACTAATAGCGGAAAATCCATTCCATACGGTAATCTTAAAATTTACATCGGTTTGGGCACTGTATTGCTACTAAGATATCGTCGACTCTGAGCTCACAAACTCAACGTAAGAGCTGCTTTCCATCTACGGTATTATTAGAAAGCATATGTCCAGTAGTGGACTTCAAAAAGCGGCATTGTAAAACTCGATACTAGGTAGAGCCATGATGCAGCTATATTATTAGTATAGTTGTAGCACGAATGGGTCGGTTCAACCGGGGAAGGACCACGCTCTCACAGAGTACCAGCGTAAAATAGCAGCTTAACACTGCTGTGTTTCGTACAGTGAGTAGAGAACCGGAGACCCTTTTTACTGGAAAAGAGGCATTCCATCTTAGTCCTCACGGCTGACAACGCATCCGCATTTTCATTCTTTATTAAGGATAGATGTAGATGTCTATGAGTCGCAGCAACCACTTACCATCAGGTGGACTGTGTGCTCGTTTGTCGCCCTATCCTATAAAAAAAAATTTGACATAATCCTATCGGAGTGATCTGTGGGATGTATATAGGCTGTAACTTTTCTCCATCCATTTATTAATTACAGCCTATTAAATCTCCTGTGTTGAATATAGACCACTCCGTAGATTTCCTCATAAAGGATATTTGCCATAGTTGCCACGATTTGCTGGCGGGTTGGCATCCGCAGTTTTTTATTTCTTACTTGTTATTAGGAAGACGCTGTTGCCCATCTTCTGTTTTTTTTTCTCTCTGACGCTTTACGAGCTTACACCACCCACTGTACGACAAGGTGTTGTGGATATTCTTGCAATGCTACTACATAGTTAACTTTTTTCCAGGTAAAGATGATAAGCTGGTGCAAACTGTGTTACAAGGCATTCCTCAAGAAGCACGCGAAAAGGGAATCGCAACTGAAAAAACGCTGCTAGAGAAATTCGACAAGGTGAAATTTAAATATTATTTTTTGGGATCAAATATATTTTACCGACATAACCGTTTTTATATATGTATTAAGATTGTGTTAAAAAAAGCTTTTACAAAAATTTACTTCGCAAATATCCGCGTTATAAAATAAAATGATGTGTCTTACCTAGTATGAAGAAGCACCTCCCGCCCTCCCTCAATTGCGTGCACTAACCCCGTCACCACTAATCCCAGCACCGCTACTTCCAACACCACTACACTAGGCAAGACACACCACTGACGATAATACGACACGTGTTTCGCCTCTACACGAGGCATCCTCAGGTGATATAGACTCTACGGTGGCTAACCGCTAAGTGAGCGGCGAGCCAAAACAAGTGCCTTTTATACAAACCGATGATGCAACCGCTCTCTATCTAACGAGCGAGCGATTGCGTCATGCGATAAAACATGCGACCAATCACCGCTGGACTTACGCAGCCGTTTGTAAAATTAAAAACAAACCGCCGCGCAACGCCCACATTATTAGTGAGCAGGCTTGAAGATATTTAAGAGAGGTGAGTTAGTAACATTTGTTTGTTCATTCAGCAATGCAACGGTATTATTATTACTTTTTAATATCTCTAACTGTTCCAGCACACACAGACGCAGCCCTTTATTACACGTATGTAAGACTTTAAAGGAGTGGTCGTTGGCTAGGTTGTGTCCAGTGTCCAAAAGATGTTTGGCAAAATGGGATTTATCGGGATTGCAATTCCTGTACGCGGCTAAATGCTCTTTATAACGTGTCTCGAAATTGCGACCAGTCTGACCCACGTAAACGGCGTGGCATTCGTCACAAACAAGTTTGTAAACACCTGACTTTTGACGAATATCTAACTTATCTTTACTATTACAGATATTTCTAAGAGAATTGTTTGTTTTGAACGCCACATGAACGCCGTTTTGTCGAAGAGTATTAGCTACTTTTTCAGATATGGGGCCTAAGTAGGTCAAACTGCTCACATATCGATGAACACTTTGAGGTTGAACCGCGTACAGAGAGTTGCGAATAACATGCTTTTGTTTCTTTTTAATTAAATTGTTAATGAGATTTTTTGAAAAACCGTTAGAGACCGCTATTTGATAAATTATATTAAGTTCTTTTAAATAATTTTCTTTACTTAATGGGACAGTGAACAAACGGTTAATGTAACAATAAAAAGCGGCTACTTTATGTTGCCATGGATGACATGATGACGCGGGGATGACCGTGTCGGTGTGAGTTGGCTTTCGATAAATTTGGAAAACATGTGACGATTCTTTTCTTGTTATTGTTAAGTCAAGAAAATTAAGGGAACAATCTTGTTCCAATTCAAGTTTAAATTTAATTTTGTCATGGACTCTATTTATTTTATTGAGGAAAACATCCAGTTGTCTCCTTGTGCCAGTCCAGCAAATAATTATGTCGTCTACATATCGATAGTAATATAAGATATTTTGATTGACAACTATATGTTGTTTTTCGAAATTATCCATGAAAATGTCCGCCATAAGGGGACTTAGAGGGGACCCCATAGCTAACCCTTCTTTTTGTAGATAGAAACGGTTATTAAACCGGAAATAGTTTTGTTTCATACAGAGAGAGGTTAAGTTAAGAAGATCATTTGTTTCCCCGGGATGTAGACGACGTTTTTCAAAGAGATCTGCGAGTATACGCAAACAGTCAGGGGATGGGACATTTGTGAAAAGACTATCAACGTCTAAAGATAACAATATGGATTTAGGAGGAATACGAATATCTTTAATTTTGGAAATGAGATCTAAGCCATTTTTTAGGCTGTAAGTGGGATTAAATCCAGATTTCTCTCGAAGGAGGAAGTTTAATTTTTTAGCAAGGAAATAAGCTGGTGCACCAATATATGAGACAACTGGACGAATAGGAACATGTTCTTTATGTATTTTTGGTAACCCATATAAAATGGGTGCTTGAGGATTCATTGGACCCATTTTATATGGGTTACCAAAAATACATAAAGAACATGTTCCTATTCGTCCAGTTGTCTCATATATTGGTGCACCAGCTTATTTCCTTGCTAAAAAATTAAACTTCCTCCTTCGAGAGAAATCTGGATTTAATCCCACTTACAGCCTAAAAAATGGCTTAGATCTCATTTCCAAAATTAAAGATATTCGTATTCCTCCTAAATCCATATTGTTATCTTTAGACGTTGATAGTCTTTTCACAAATGTCCCATCCCCTGACTGTTTGCGTATACTCGCAGATCTCTTTGAAAAACGTCGTCTACATCCCGGGGAAACAAATGATCTTCTTAACTTAACCTCTCTCTGTATGAAACAAAACTATTTCCGGTTTAATAACCGTTTCTATCTACAAAAAGAAGGGTTAGCTATGGGGTCCCCTCTAAGTCCCCTTATGGCGGACATTTTCATGGATAATTTCGAAAAACAACATATAGTTGTCAATCAAAATATCTTATATTACTATCGATATGTAGACGACATAATTATTTGCTGGACTGGCACAAGGAGACAACTGGATGTTTTCCTCAATAAAATAAATAGAGTCCATGACAAAATTAAATTTAAACTTGAATTGGAACAAGATTGTTCCCTTAATTTTCTTGACTTAACAATAACAAGAAAAGAATCGTCACATGTTTTCCAAATTTATCGAAAGCCAACTCACACCGACACGGTCATCCCCGCGTCATCATGTCATCCATGGCAACATAAAGTAGCCGCTTTTTATTGTTACATTAACCGTTTGTTCACTGTCCCATTAAGTAAAGAAAATTATTTAAAAGAACTTAATATAATTTATCAAATAGCGGTCTCTAACGGTTTTTCAAAAAATCTCATTAACAATTTAATTAAAAAGAAACAAAAGCATGTTATTCGCAACTCTCTGTACGCGGTTCAACCTCAAAGTGTTCATCGATATGTGAGCAGTTTGACCTACTTAGGCCCCATATCTGAAAAAGTAGCTAATACTCTTCGACAAAACGGCGTTCATGTGGCGTTCAAAACAAACAATTCTCTTAGAAATATCTGTAATAGTAAAGATAAGTTAGATATTCGTCAAAAGTCAGGTGTTTACAAACTTGTTTGTGACGAATGCCACGCCGTTTACGTGGGTCAGACTGGTCGCAATTTCGAGACACGTTATAAAGAGCATTTAGCCGCGTACAGGAATTGCAATCCCGATAAATCCCATTTTGCCAAACATCTTTTGGACACTGGACACAACCTAGCCAACGACCACTCCTTTAAAGTCTTACATACGTGTAATAAAGGGCTGCGTCTGTGTGTGCTGGAACAGTTAGAGATATTAAAAAGTAATAATAATACCGTTGCATTGCTGAATGAACAAACAAATGTTACTAACTCACCTCTCTTAAATATCTTCAAGCCTGCTCACTAATAATGTGGGCGTTGCGCGGCGGTTTGTTTTTAATTTTACAAACGGCTGCGTAAGTCCAGCGGTGATTGGTCGCATGTTTTATCGCATGACGCAATCGCTCGCTCGTTAGGTAGAGAGCGGTTGCATCATCGGTTTGTATAAAAGGCACTTGTTTTGGCTCGCCGCTCACTTAGCGGTTAGCCACCGTAGAGTCTATATCACCTGAGGATGCCTCGTGTAGAGGCGAAACACGTGTCGTATTATCGTCAGTGGTGTGTCTTGCCTAGTGTAGTGGTGTTGGAAGTAGCGGTGCTGGGATTAGTGGTGACGGGGTTAGTGCACGCAATTGAGGGAGGGCGGGAGGTGCTTCTTCATACTAGGTAAGACACATCATTTTATTTTATAACGCGGATATTTGCGAAGTAAATTTTTGTAAAAGCTTTTATATAATGGATTTCCGCAAAGTAACGCCTGATTCTATTAAGATTGTGTTAGTTGCAATATGAGATGTGTCTGTTGTTATTATAGATGGAAAAGACCGCAGTAAAAGTAGCTCTCGTGGGACGCGACGGCGCATCACTGCCTGTGTACTTCCTATCGTGGCTTCAATCGAAATTGCTGTTCCAAAAGGTAAGATCTCATCGGCCTGGAAAAGTCGTCAACTAGGCATGGGCCAGTACGTAGTGAAAGGTGCAGTACAAGCAGTTGTAGCACTTTTGACTATGGACCTTGAACATTGAAGAAGAGTTATTATTATTTAATGTTTGTTTTTATTTATTAGCTGATACCCACGACTTTCGTACGCGTTCCTTGATATATTAACAAAATTTTCGATATCTATATAAATAGATAATATTGAAGTGTTTGTTTGTAATGTCAAAATTACAGCTTTTTACTTAATGCATATAATGAAAGTATATACGGTACTAATAACAAAAATACAATTTTTAAAGTTTTTGCCTGTCTGTCTGTCTTGTCTGTCTGTCCGTCTGTCTGTCTGTTTGTTCCAGCTAATCCCCGATACGGCTGGACCAATTTTGATTGGAAAAGCAAAAGATTGATGGATTTTCACTCGCAGATAGCTGATGTCACAAGGAGTAACTTAGGCTACTTTTATTTTAGAAAAAGAATTTCCGCGCAAAAAAATTAAACCCCAAAAAACACGCGGGCGAAGTCGCGGGGAACAGCTAGTATATAATAAATATGGTACATGAGGGTAATATGGTCATCCAGGTAATATGGTCGGTTACTTTCTTATAACTCAAAAACTACAGGCTTGTTTGCATAGATGACTCTGTGATCGTATCACAGAGCCATCTATGCGATAGCTCTTCCTTCATCAGTCAATCAAATAATAAAGGGTGAAAAAGGCGCTGCTTTATCGAAGCCATGTTGACAGTCAACATTATAGTAAATATTTTTGCAGATGTTTGTATTGAGTAGTGTAGTGTAGTTTTTTTAAGTTGATTTTTCGAACTGTTGTTAGTTATTGCCAAAGCTTATTTGCTATTTTTTTCTTAATATATTAGTTGTAGTATACAGCTTTGTGTTTTTGTCTATGTCCTCCTCCTAGTTTTGGTTTTATAGGGCGGCAAATCTTAAGGTGACCATATTACCTTCACGTACCTTATGTATATAAATATGACTGTATGAAAACTAATTATATGAAGATTAGTTATTTAACGGTAAATAAATACTGAGAAAACCATAGGAAATTACAGGGGGCAATTGATCAAGGTACAACTGAACAGCATCAGGACTTTAACTTGAGTCAGAGGTAGAAGAGACTTCCCCTCTCCTACGCATGCGCGCTGCACCGCTTGCCCCACTTCTCAGCGGCAAGAAAACACACATCACTGAACACGAAGTGCTTATAAAAATCGTTGTTTCCTAAAACTTTAATAACTTTATATTAAATGACGATATCGCAATAATTTGTTTTTAGATATGGGCCAATTTTCTATGATATAAAGATATAAGTGATGCGCGCCCAATTGCAAACCTCTATAATTTTATTTACATAGATTAATTTGATAATTTATGTACACACAAAGTAAAAAAAGAGATTTTCGTACAAACACACAGCTTATATAAATTTCTTATTAATTGAAATTAATTAAATAATAATTAAATTAATTGAAATTTCTTCCAACAGGCCTGATGACATTTCAAAGGTCCTCAGTGGTGACAACGTATCTGTAGCCTTCCTTAGTTGGTTACAAGTGTGCTTAGGTTGCAGTGACTACTCACAATTAGGCGACTGACAGTTCGTTAGTCATTTCATTGTATTAAAAAAAACACAATTGAGCTTTAAAAAAGCGTATGCTTTTTAATTATAACATGTTGGGATTCTATATCTACCGTGTAGTGGTGGTGTAAGAATATCCACTACCCTATAATATCCCGTGGGTGTCGTAAGACGCGACAGAGGGAAACAAACCATGAGATAGGCAGCTAAATAATAACAAATAAAAAATAAAATAACTGCGGTTGCCGACCCGTCTGCTAAGCGTGGCAACTATAGCAAATATCCCCCCTATGAGGTACTCTATGGGGGGGAGGGCTATGTTCAGCGCTGAATTTTATAGGCGGTAACGGTAACGGTATGTTGCGATTGTGTGTCGTGCATCGTTATCGTAAAATTTATATTGTTAACTTAGCGGACCAATAAGTCCTATCTAAAGTTCACTGCTGAACAAAGACCTTTTCTCATAGGTTGCCTCATAGGGCCACGCTTGGCAAGCGTGTTGGCAACCGCTGTTTTTCATTATTTTGAGCTGTGATGAGGAAGATGCTGCTCCCCACCTTCTGTTTCAGTTACTCATATTCATGTGGATTATTCGCATACTAGAAAATAAGCTTTTAAATTCACATAACGAAGAATCAATGTATTATTTTTTTATTTTTTTAGTTCGCCGAAATTCCCAAGGATGAATTGGAGAACAAGCCAATGGACTTTACCAAATTGGATACGTTTGACATAATCCAGAGAGCGAGGTACTGAGTCTTTCAATTTCCTAATTTTGTACTAAACTTTTATCTATACGTGAAGAGAAAACTTTGTACCCTTTACAAGCGTATAGCGCGCACGGAGAAGTTCGAGTTTTGGCATATTTTTTAGTTTATATGAAGGAAATATAGTAAAACATTCAGTTTTTACTTCATATCGAACGTCAAACCAGTCGCACACAGTAGACTAATAAGGTAGCAGTAGGTAACAGTATAGAATAAGGGTAACAAACGAGCACATAGTCCACGTGATGGTAAGTGGATGCTGTAGCCCTTCGACATTTCTACATTTTATCTTCGATTAAGAAACAAAGTGCTGATGCGTTGTCGTGTTGTGAACTAAGATGGAATGCACATTTTGCAGTTAGTAAACAGTGAGAAGCTACATAACCTAGTGTGGCGGCGCTGTCGTCGCGCCACATGCGAAACACGTTGAAGCCTAAATCACGCTATCAAAGTTCCGAAGTAAAGCAGCATATATGTAAATATATAGAACAACTCCGGGCCGATCGATTATCTTGCACGGCGGAAGATCTTTCCTTTTCCTACCACAGCTAAACTAGTATAGTACAATAATTTTGCAGGTACTTCATGGAACACGGTGACTTACAATCGGCCCTACGGTATGTGAACCTGCTGCAAGGCGCGCCCCGCGCGGCCGCGGCCCCCTGGGCGGCGGCGGCGCGCCGGCACCTGGAGGTGCGGCAGGCCGCTGAGGCGGTCATGGCACACGCCTCTGTGTCCGGCCTCTTGTACTTGTAGATGATTCTACCTCTACATTCGAATTCGTTTCGTTTTTCACATTGAGACTGTTATTTGTTTATTAAAATTGCTTGTTGCTGCAATAACTTATATTAAAAAAAACAAGTAAATGTTTTAATGGCACATTATGGTCGACCATCCGCCACTGCATTTATATGTAGATTGTGGACTTCATTTATAAGTGCAGAGTCTAAAGTTTTAAATTCACAACAATATTGTTATTGAAATATTTTGATTGAATAATAATATATTTACTTTAAAAATACCTGAATTATATTTTATAATCTGTCCGCTTAAGAAAATAATAGACTTTCATAAAAAAAAAATACCATAATATATTATATTTATGTTTTTCTCTCTCTTTCACTGAATGTTGTTTTATAAGTACACCTTTCTATTCGTTATTATGATAATCTGAAAGGTATTTCATATTTAACTTTAATTTTACATCAAAAACGTAAATAAGTAAATTAAATAATTCTGATAGAATATTTCTAGTCTTCATCGTGGAAAACGAAGTGATTACGTAAAGAAATATGGACCCTAACATCAGGGTATTATAGATGAGTTTTCAACCTCTGTTGTTTATTCTTAATTTATTTAATCTTGCATCAATCCACAGATTTTCTAATTGGTTATGAAAACAGACATTTTGGAAAATATTCACCCTGTTATAACACAATTGTACAAAAATAATTTTTAAACATCGGACATCTCAAATATAAATCATCATCAATTTATGCATTCATTTAATGTGTATAAAGTATATTTTTGTAAATGACGAGATGTACGATGTTCAATCTTTAAAAAAACAATTTCGTCTAAATTTCCTTTATGTATCATCCCAAATCTTTTTGGTTTAAAACAAAAAAATAAAATAAATAAACAAAATGCGATCATAGCGATCTTGCATTTATGACAGACTGTCGCAAATGTAACGAAATTTACTACGTAACCTTCTGTAATTTTAGTAACTTGTGTAAATATTTAAAAATGTTATTTAAAAATTAGAGAATGAGTTTTATTTCACCGTTTTGTTTTATTTACACTATTTACCCATTGAAATCAAACCTTATGCAAATTCTTGCGTTCTTTGTACTTATGCTTTTTACCAAAACTTTTTACAGGTTTATTTAAAAATCTGTTTTTTCAATTTCCACTAAAATTACGTTTGCTTTCTTTACTGCTCCCTATCCTTGGTTATATAAATTTAAGCTACTTCAAAAACTATGTAAACGGTTTATATTAGAACTTTGTAAATATCATCATCCTCATTACAGCCCTTCACAAGTCCACTGCTGAACATAGGCCTCCCCCAGGGAATGCCACAAAGCACGGTCTTGAGCCACCTGCATCGATCGACTTCCTGCATGTCTTACCAGGTCGTCATTCCATCTAGTGGGGGGACACCCTACACTTCGTCCGCCGGTACGAGGCTGCCACTCGAGAACCTTTCTTCCCTATTGGTTGTCGGTTCTTCGAGCTATATGGCCGGCCCATTGCCACTTCAGCTTACTAATCCTTTGGGCTATGTCGGTCACTCTGGTTCTACTGCGGATATCCTCATTTCTAAGTTTATCACGGAGAGAAACTCCGAGCATAGCCCTCTCCATACCTCGCTAAGCGACCTTGAGCTTCATACGGCCAGCAGTGAAGGATCACGTCTCAGATCCATGTCATCACTGGCAACACACACTGGTTATAATACAATCTCGTTTTCAGGTTTTGAGGTATACCTCACGAGATGTGCCGTAGTTTCCCGAACGCCTGCCCAGCCGAGTTGAATCCGTCGATTGACATCGGTCGAAATTGGACTTACCTATTTGTCCCAGGTAAACAAACTCGTCAACAACTTCGAGCTTAGTGCTCCCAACAACTACCGGCATAGGTGTGATATGGACATTAAACATGCTCTTTGTTTTGTCCATTTTCATCTTAAGACCTATCCGTTGGGAGACACTATTGAGGTCATTGAGCATAGTGCTTAGGTCCTCCACTGATTCTGCCAATATCGTCGGCAAATCGAAGGTGAGTGATGTTCTCACCATTGAATTTAATACCGTATGCTTTCCAGTTCAGTAACTTCAAAACGTATTCCAATGCAGCGGTGAAGAGTTTCGGGGAAATAACGTCACCCTGTCTTACACCTCTCTGCAGTTGTATAGGTTTCGTACTCTGCTTCTGTACTCGGATAGCTATCGTAGTCCTACTGTAAAAACACTTCAGCACTTCGATGTACCGACAGTCAACTTGGCACCGCTGAAGGGACTGTACTAGCGCCCAAAATTTCGACGGAATCAAAGGCTTACTCATAGTCCACATACGCAAGGCAAAGTGACAGATTGTACTCTTCTGTACAATTTGCCGAAGGGTGTGTATGTGGTCCAATGTAATAAAGCCTTTTCGGAAACCGGCTTGTCCGGAAAAGAGCTTCTGAGGGACTTCAAGTACCGGTTTTCCACCCGCTTTCAGAAGCTCCGCTGTAATTCCATCTTCGCCTGGGGCATTACCGTTTTTAAGGTGCTTGAGCGCCATTCTAATCTCGCTCAGACTGACGTCCGGGATATCTTCGGAATAGTGTTGGATAAGACTCGCTCTTGGATCGTTACTCACACTTGCGTGTGGCTCCAACGATGTACAGCTGCCCATAGAACCTCAAAATCTCAGGTATCCCGGAAACGATACTGCCACACTAGGTCTTCAGCTTTGACAGTTGGCTCTTTCTGGCAGACAGATCTCTGGCAAAGACTTTGGAGCCTTGGTTACGCTCGATCGCTTCTTCAATGCAAGCTGTATTGAAGTTGCGTAAGTCCCGCCGCATGCATTTGGAGATCTGTCTGTTTAGTTGCCTGTATGTTGTCAAATCTGCTGTCAAGACTGCAGCTTCATTTCCCGTGAAGTCTCTTTCTCCATGAAGTCGGCCGCTGGCCCCTGGGGTTCCGTTGTCCTATTCCAAATTTCCCTACCCTCATCTCGCCATACTCTCTTGTGCCTAGTTTTGCATTGAAGTCTCCCATTAACATCGTATAGTGGGTTTTGGAAGAATGCATGGCTCTAGATAATATATCCTCATACATTTCCTCCACCTCCTCATCGGGGTGTGCTGAGGTTGGTGTGTAAACCTGTTGACCTTCAGCGAATACCGTTTGGTGATTCTGAGTATAAGGTACGCAACCCTAGTCGACACACTCTCAATCTTTACAACGTTGTTAACGAGAGACTTGTGGACGATAAATCCGACACCTCCTTTGTAAATATGACTGTCTCAAAATATCGCACTAAGCTCAAGTTCCCAATCCTCTTTGTACTCATACTCTTTCAGTTTTCTGCTGCATCTTATGTACTCGTATCAAAGAACGTTCCCTTCGGTCCAGAGAAATGATTTTTCACCTATCAACAAATCTGAGTGTAAGGAAACTCGGCTACTTATTACAAAAATCTGTCTTTGTTCTTTGGGGTAAGTTTTGAAACTACTGTGTTCGCAACATTATCCGTTCAAATGTCATTCTCTCTCTCTTTGTCTCTCGACAATGTTATTCTCTCTCTCTTCTATGCTGTCTGTATTAAAAAAAACATTAATAAAGAATTTAATATAAAATATCTTAATTTAATCTAAACAAACATATTTCTAAATAAAATGTAATAATAATTATTTTATTGAATTCACAAATCTTCAATTTAGGCAATATTTAGTTTGTATAGATTGCAGTACAGTTCAGTTGAACATAGTCAATGTTCGGAATGGCTTCTCTAGTACGTAGTACATATAACTCAATTCATAGACTTAGTATTCCATCTCCGCACAATATAATCCAATATAATCATTTTGCATCGGGTCATAAATGTTGATTTAAGAGGAATGTCAACGAGATCCGATTTTACATTTGACAGCACGAATGAACTCGATCAGCGAAGGACCACACTCACAGAGTAATAATAGTATCATATTGCTGCTGTATTTCCTTTACTATGACAAGTGTCTCATAGTGTCAAGAATTTCATACATCAATATCAAAAGAGTTCATGTCAGTGAGTGAAATACCTAATAATGATAACGATTCGAAATTTCAAACTTCACTAACGTACGTTTGCAAGGTATGTACCTACCCCATTAAGTTATAATATACTACGTACTAGAGAAGATATACCAAACAAAAAATGTGCGCTACTCTATGTATTCGCGCATGCGCGAGAGATGGTAGAGTCACGCATGCGCAGTTTTTGTCATCATAGATTATACATAGGTAGAATGATCAGTATGTAATAAGTAATTGTTTATTTAGATTGTATTGTTAATTATATCGAGTACAATTTTTTTAATTGTTATTTATTTTGCATATGAGTTAATTTAATATAATATAACATAATATTATGTCAGAATTACCAATTAATTTCACCCTCTAGTTAATTTTCTATATTGTGCCGTTGTATGCTTTTTGTTTTTTAGGGGTGAAAACTACCCCTTATTTTCAAAAATTATAAAATAACATTAAAAACTAAATATGGGTAAAATAGTTAAATAATGATTGTTTCATGCTTTAGGATAGGATAATTTCATAATCTTTCAACCTACCCTTGTTACTACTACTTTAAAAACTTATTACTACCCTTGAAAACATTGAAATTGTCAGAGCACGTGCTTCGAACTTTAGAATACTACTATACTACTATAGAATTTAGAACACTGGTTAGAAATCAACGAAATATACACACACACGAATACACGTGAGCAAATGTTCCTTTTTTTTTAGGATAGGGTGACAAACAAAACATTTCTTACAATTGCCTCTTAAGACACCTATGGGACCATAATTATGTGGTAGATTCTGTTACACAGGCAACGTAAGGTAAAGAATAGGAGATAAAAGAATAGAATATTGATACTCACATCTTAAGCGCAACGGAGTTACGGCTAAGTTTTTTATAGGATAGGGTGACAAACGAGCACACAGTCCACCTGGTGGTAAGTGGTTACTGTGACCCATAGACATCTACATCTA